CAGGAGCACAGCAGGTGGGCGCTGACGGCTCCTCCTGAGCACTCCCTCGCTGCTCCCATCATAGTGCCAGCTGCCCCCTCCCGCCAGGACAGGTCCACCCCCGGCGCTCTGCTCGGCCCCTGGCTGGCCCTCCAGGAGGGTGGCTTTGTTTTACCTGACGACTGGCCCATCAGATTTTGAGCTTCTTCGGAGGAGTGTAAAGGCAGCTTTTCTCCTGGAGAGCAAAGAGAGACAGATTTAATGTTTTGCCCTCAAGGAGATAAGCAAGGTCCCTTCAACTAGGGAAGCTCAAAATATGATTGTCCGGTGGCCGTGTCACTAGCCACACTGCGAGGGTGCCTCGGCCTTTACAGCTCCCTAACCATGCCCTCAGCTGGGAACCGCCATCTCTCTGCCCTGGGGCAGGGCCACATGCCACTGGCAGGCCTCTCTCCCCAGCTTTGAGGAGGCACTGGGCTCCCTGGATGGAGGCACCCGAAGGAAGGGCCACCAAGGGTGCTGGTGTGGGTAGCGGGGAGCACAGCCGAGCAAGCACCCTGCAGGGGACAGCGCCTCTTCACAAGCAAGGACCCCGCCAAAGCCGACTGAAGGTCACCTGATCCCGCTGTGGGAGACAGGCCCCACCCCAGTCACGGACACACCCCTGCTGATGGACCCAGCCCCGCTTGGCACTCAGGACCAAACTGACTGCACAGCTGCTGAGCGAGCCCCAGGCAGGAAGAGAAGAAGGGCAGTAGGGGCTGGGTACGTACCGGGGAAAGCGGGGTTGGTCTGTCCGAGGGGAGGAAAGGGGGTTTGCTGCATGGCCAACTGGTGGAGCTTGGTCAACTGCTGGGGGCAGGAGGGACACGAGAGCTAAGAAGGTTATTGTCATTGAGTACAGTCACACCAAATAAAAGGCAGTAACAGACTTGATACAGATGGGCACCGGGGGCCATGCGGACACATGGCGGACGCAGGCGTGACTCAAGGACTTGGCCTGGGTGGAGCCAATGGGGTCCAGGTGGTCAGCAGATGGGCCAGTCACAGGGTAGGGTAGGCACCCTCCTTCTGGTCTCTTCCTCTCCTTGGGCGGCGCAGGCTGGAACCAGCTGCTCTCACACATGCCCTGGGCAGAGGGTGTTCCCTGAGGCTGGCGTGAAGGAAGGTGCTGGGGTGGGCAGGCCTGCAGGGGCCAGCAGGCTACTTAGGCTCTGGGAGGAGGGTTCTGCAAGCCATGAAGCCAAGACCAGATACTAAAATTCACACTTTCACTCACAAAACCCATGCTATCCTCTTGGGGACAACCAATGAGAAACACTACTTTGCAAACCTTGGCTTGGCTCCAGCCTTGTCTACCCCTGGCTCGCACCTGGCTCACACCTGGCTAGCACCTGGCTCGCACCTGGCTCACACCTGGCTAGCACGTGGCTAACCCTGGCAGCAAATCCTGCCTTTCCCAGGTGTGCTACTCTGCAAGCATCATCTTCCTGACAGATGAGAGCCACGTGCCGGGAAATCACCAGCAGACCCACATGCCGCCCACAGTAACACTTTTGGGGGCTTCACTGTTGTATGTGGGACTACAGAACATTAGTGCTGGCAGGTTTCTTGCAGAGCATGTGTAAAAGCCACCAAGAGGGCCTCAGGGACATGCAGGCAATACCTGCACCTGCGCCCACCTGCTCTCTGAGCAGGCTGCTCCCACCCCCTTGTCCCCGTCCCCTTGCCCCCACCCCTGGACACTCACACACGGGATCTGGCATCCCCCGGGATGGTTTGTGGTTTGCCACCCTTGGGTGTTCCCCAAGTGAGAGGAGCTGATGTGGACAGAATCTGTCTAGACACCCCCATTCATCCTAACATACAGTGCTTGGGCTGCCTCCCTCCATAAAACACACCGAGAAAGCAGCCTGGCACTAGAACACAGCACTGAAGGTCCCACACAGCTAGTGTCCCTGCAGGGGCTCCAGGGCAGCAGAAGGAAGTGGGTGTGCAGCTGTTTCAAAGGAGCAGGATACTCTTCCCCTAAGACTTTACCCTGAGTTAAGTCCAAACAGTTTTGTAATGGACATTCCTGCTCAGTGTCTCTGTAGAGGGTCACAGGCTGCTCCCCACAATCGGCAGCCCCCCGCCTCTCCTGTACCCACCTGACCCACCATGACCCTGTGAAGGGGGTATGCCCCCTACCTGGCCAGCCAGGCCTGGGAATGTTTTGCTCAGTGGACTGTGGCTGGGTGGGTACAGGCACATGGGAACAGGGCTTTAAATGTGCTTGTTGGTCAGGCCTGGCCTCTTCCTGGCTTCCACAAGAATATGGATCAGGAGCAAGGAGACATGTGGAACCCCACTGACACCGCGTGCAGAGCCATAACCACACTTGGGAGACAGAACCTTTGCTATTATAGCCAATGGGACTTTGAGGCTGTTGGTTGTTGCAACAAAAGTTGACAAATATAGTCTGTCTTTCCTGGGCCAGCTCCTGGAAACACTGCCATTACAGGTGTATTTTGTTTGACTGGTTTCCTCCATCCTTCTCATGGAAAAATGATGAGTGAGCACTTATATGGGGTGCACTTTACAAGCAGCCCTCTGCTTCCTCTCTTACAGACCTCTCCATGTCTTCTTGGGTGTTCCCTGACTCACAGCACTTGAGGTGGGATTGCCTGGGGAAGAACTGGCTGCATCCCAGACTCACTGAGGCCATCCTGGGCTGCAGCTGTTGTTGTCACAGAGTTCTGAGGAGCACAGGTTAGGGATGTGGTGACTGGGGGTCAGATTTATCTCTGAGATTCCACTGGTGTGGTAGTGCTTGTCAAGGCAGGTGCTGGGAGGGGTAATGGGAACAAGGGTCCCACCTGACACCACTGCCTGGGTGTTTCATAGGGGCAGCAGCTGGTCCCTAGGCAACCAGGGCCGTTGAGGAGATGTCAACTGGGACTTGGTTATAAGGCTGGCTCCCATGCTGACCAGCATCTGTGTCTGCTCAATGACTATACATGGGCGTGGTTAGCTACCTGAGTGGACACGCATCAAAGCCTTCAGAAAGAGGTGCCAAAGCATGTCCAGAAAGCACCATCCCCAAGACACTAGCCAAAGGATCACACCCCAAGCCAGTAATTTGAGTAATTTGTCTTTCATCTGCTTCCCTCACCTAATTCCTAATTGTCTACAAAAACCACATGTGCTTCTAAAATGTCATTGTCATTGTTTTGTTGTTGACCATCAGAGTCAACCACTAATACTAAGAATTTGTAGGGACAATAGGTGAGACTTGGCTTACAGGCTGCTGTGCCTCTGGGTGAGACACTGCAAGGTCCTAGAGGGAAGGGGGCCCTTCGGTGGGAGGACACCTTGCTTCTTTCTGCTCAGGGAGCATAGCAGGAAGTAGAATGCATTAGTGCACTCTAGTAAAGGCCATTATTTTTGGGGAAAAGTAACTGCATTATAGAAAGAAAACAAGTACACACTGTCTTAGGAGAAAGAGGGAAAGAGGTGTGCAGGGTTAAACATTACATGGCCAAGGTGTCTTGTGGAATAATTTATCCAAAGCCACGTCCTGTGAGTTGAATTATACCAACTTGATCTGGTAAGCTACTGACTCCCACTGGATGGGACCACAACTCAACACACGAGGGAGATGGGGACACTGTTACACCAATTAACACTAAGTAACACGGAGGTGGGACACATTTGACAGTGGAGCTGGTCTTAAATCCCACCTATAAATCAAGAGTTTTAACTAGTTCACAAATTTCTTGGTAATGGAGACCACTACAAAATTCCTAGGATGGAGTAAGAAATCCCCATTTCTGGAGCTAAATTTAAAGTTTAAAGAAAGAAAAATGTTGTGATTTCCAGACCAACATGTAAAGAGCTTGGAAGTCATCACTCCTACCCACACAACAAGGAAAAAGCTGAACAAAAAATGAAAATCTACGCTTTTCTTAGATCCATTAGAGAATTAGGGTCACTGGGCAAACTGCTGCCCTGAAAACTAGAAAGACAGATAAGCAGAAACCAATAATCACAGCTTACTGGGGACAGAAGCCTAGGAGCTTACCAGTAGCTTACCAGCAGCCCACTGCCAGGACCTGTAGGAACACTTTAAACTGTAATTGATGAATTGCTGGAGGCCCCGTGTGGATGAGCTTGAGAGTTAAAAACTCTGGGGGCCCAGCCTTAGGGGAGTCCCACATGTTTTTGAGTTTTACTTCCAGAAGCCCCACTAGGTTTTCATTGTGAAAACTGGAGAAAAATCCCCTCATTCTTCCAGCAGGGGGAGGAGAAAAGTAACCATTTTGAAATATGTCCAGAGGTCCCTGTTCTCCTTGACAGTGGCCTGTCCTCGAGGGAAACTATTTTACTGGAGTCTAAGCAATGTGGGTTTTACCAAAGCCTAACCAATGTGGGGAAACCCTAGTGGCATGGTGGTTAAGAGTTCGGCAGCTAAACAAAAGGTCAGCAGTTCAAATTCACCAGGCGCTCCTTGGAAACCCTATGGGGCAGTTAGTTCTACTCTGTCCTATAGGGTCGCTAGGAGTCGGAACTGACTTGATGGCAAGGGTTTTTTTCTTTTTTTTTTTAACCAATGTAGGGGGAGGAAAATAACCAACTCCAGTCCCATCTAGCCTTCCATGCAAGGGGAGGGAAATACCCAGCTCCAGCCCCTTCTAACCTTCCTGTCTCATCTTGGAGGAAGGGAGCTGAGAAGCAGTTGTGAAGGTCAAAGCCCAGGGGCACAGGCCCACTAAAGACTGAGACCTAACCATAGGACTATAAAATGCTTCCCCTCCCCCTACGCCTTACCACCACATCATCAGGGCTCCAGTATAATGACAGTGGATTACAGCTAAAAGACCTGTAGGCCTCAGACCCTATTTAAGAAGGAGTTTCTAGGGAAAACCAAAGACAACAGAAGAAAAAAAAAAAGGACACCAGGGGAAATTTTAGCCTCTGACCAACTGTTTTCTAGAGCAAACAGCAAACACAGCTTAACTCCAATCCAGGGAAGCAAAAACTTGACACAAAAGGACTATTTACTTCAGTTCTTTCTCCAGATACATCATGTCCAGCTTTCAATAAAATATTGTAAGACATACTAAAATGCAAAAAAACACAATCTAAAGAGCCAGAGTAAGCATCAGAAACAGACTCAGATATGGCACAGATTTTAGAATAATCTCACCGATAATTTAAAATAACTATGATTAACATTGTTCATTGACAACTTCATTTCTATGGTGTTGGCAAAGAATACTGAATATACCATGGCCTGCGAAAAGAATGATCAAATCAGTCTTAGAAGAAATACAACCAAAATGTCCCTTAGAAATGAGGATGGCAAGAATTCAACTCACTCCCTTTGGACATGTCATTAGGACCAACAGCTAGGAAGGACAACATGTTTGATAAAGTAGAGGGTGGGTCAATGAAAATGAGGAAGCCCTCAATGAAACGGAGTGACACAAAAGCCACAACAATGGACTCAAACATACCAATGATCAGGAAGATGGCAAAGGACTGGGCAACATCTCATTTTACATAATGTTGTCATGAGCCAGAGCCAACTCATCGACAACTAACAACAACAGCATGATTAACACATTAAGGGATCTAATGGAAAAAGTAAACAACATGAAAGAACAAATGGGTAATGTAAACAGAGATGTGGAAACTCTAAGAAGGTACCAAACGGCAATGCTAGAAATTAAAAAACAAAAACAAAAACATTGTAACAGAAATAAAGAATGCCTTTGATGGTCTCATCAGTAGACTGGACAGGGCCAAGAAAAGAATCAATGAGCTTCAATATATGTCAACAGACATTTCCCAAAATGAAAAGCAAAGAC